GGTTACGTATAATCGTAAAAATCGTTACGTATAATCGTGTTTCTATAGCTGGTGCATGCGATAGTAGGTCTTACTGCTTCCCCAAAAGATGACAAAACAAAATTTATTTCAGTAAGTTATTAATGAAAGTTTGTGATGTATTTTTAATTTGATTGACCAGTTATTTTACGTTCTGGATCTGTACTATCACTTCTCCATTTCCATTTTCCCGCCAGAAAGCCAATTTATTTCGCGTATATTTAAGCGGCAAGTCAGCAGAGAAGGGACAGAATGCTCGCGAACGGTATTATTGCAGCACTTGAATGCACGTCTAACAGTTAGCGTTGTTTCTAATTTTATATATGGCTCATCAACAGTGTCTGCTTCTGTTTCTGTAGTATAGTTTATATTGTGTCTACTTCCACCATCTGCCTAAAGGGAGGATGCCTTCGCTAAGATTTTTTTTAAAGGAAACTGGCTCGTATACATGTTACACATAGGAAAATCCACAAAATCGTTCGAGGGATTCGAACCCTATACTAAGTTGCTAGTGTTTAGTGACTTACCACTCGGCCACTGGTGGCCCACATAAATAGATAAAAATGGATAAATAGATAAATAATGGAAGTTTAACAATATCAATAATAATGGATATTTGGATAGAAATGGAAATTAACGAATAATTACGCCATTTCTTCTCTTTTATACATATGTTTTATACATATACTAACCCTTACAGGCGTTGACCACTCCTAAGGCCGAAGCGATGATCACTTTATTATGGAATCACCTAACAGGTGGGCTACCGTTGCCTCCTTTGAAGGGATAAATAGTTTACATCCATGATTCGAACCGGAAATCGAACCTGGGCATTAACCACTCAATCAGAGTCACTAACCACTTTCCCGTTTGGACAGCCCTTTTCTCTTATATAAATGCATATATATATTTCCTTCTTTTTGTAAATATATTTTAGTGAGTGTATTTTTACTTTCGTATATTTCATATTCATGTATATTCATCCAGAGTCTATATTAATCAATTCAGTGTACTGATTTTTGTTTCCTTTCGCTTCCTTATTATTCTAATAGCTTTCAAAGCAATATATAAGCGTTTTATTAAGAAAAACGTTTTAACAATTTTTAAGTCAAAAGTTTTAACCTTTTGAAGACGGGATGGCCATCATAGTGGCCATAGAGTCCTCTATTTGAAAAGACAGGGTTGTCCACTTTAGTGGGCATGTCTTCCCCCCCCCCATTTTCCAGGCTGAAAAGTGGGGTGAAATGTCAAATTTGACGTTCCTAGGGTTTTATCCACTTATCTCTTTCAAGGTCTTCTTTTGCGACATAATAACCCTCTGAGAATCCGTTTTCACTACACACAAGAATCTTTGTTGCAAATAGGAGGAGATTTCTTAAAGCGGGGAAAGCTTTCGGTTCAATATTCCCCGTCCTTTGGTAGCTTTTACTGCTACCAAAGCCCCGGCCTCAAAAGGTTAAAACGAATCACATATTTTTTATCTAATTTAGTCTGTAGGCCGTGTAAGCAATAGAAAGAAGAGGTAGGATTTGATAAGGATGCTTAGGACAAAACATGCAGCTAGTAATTCTAGAGGAATAATAAAAATGTTAAAGAGTAGAATTAAAAGAGGTAACAAACTGCAAACATGAAAGTGTTCACTTCTTCCTGAACATCCTCAAGAGTAAAACTTGGATCCTTAACATGCTGTTCCAGCAACAAGTCCAAGAATGATTTGCTGCCCCTCTTCAAATTTTCATTATATTCATTATTTTCTTCTTCCAGTTTGAGAGATTCCAACCTCTGATTGGTAATCTAAATTACAAAATCAACTGAGATTTTTCGTTTCAGCATTCAGCTATATTATTAACATAAAGGAAAAAAAAGGAAAGCGTCAAATAAAAATGTAAAAATTAAATCAGGCGATAGTTATTAAATGTAAATCTACAAGTATGATAATGCTACATGTAAAGGTGCTACATTGTTCATTCTAAATAAATATTACATTGATCATTCTAATCAAATATTACATTGATAAATGTCTATAAAATAATAAATCAATTTATTTTACTACAAAAATATTTTGCACATTATCTTCGAAAAATTGAAGACATAATAACAAATACCTTTTTAGTGAAATCGTTTGTAATCATTACAGCCTTTCGAAATCGCCGGCCTAGGGACGTGAAGGAAAAGATAATATCAGACGAAAGCCACGGTCTTACCATTCTATGAGTGAGTACATCCATGATCCTAAATTGTAATAAAGTAATGATAATTCACATTTAATTGCCATAGTTACAGTTCAGCTACAAAACCAAACTCGCTTAAACACTAATTTACATTGGCTTGTAAGGTTTATATTTATTTTAACTAACATTTATTTTAAGTTTAAACTATCTTTCCTGTCAAGTCTTACTTTCCCCTGGAATTGCCAATGCCAGAGTATGTAAATTTTAGTAGAACGCGCAAGGATTCAAATTGTCAGCGGAAGTAATCTGAGTTAAATAGAAAGGAAACGAGTTCGAAAGGGTGCTTTCTTACTTCACGAGCGAGGGTGCTAGTTAGAAATTGAAGAACCACGCGTTTCGGCCTGTGTGCTTGCCTCGGCAGATTGTTAATCTTTCAACGTAATATTCAGAAGTTTGCTGAATTATCAGCGGTATCTTAGAACGCGGTGAGGTTAGTTACGTTTAGAGAGCCTCGTAGTTAGTCACTTGTTATTATTCTTTTTCTAGTTTCTTATTTTTATTTTACCGCCGGGTCGGCGTAGTTTGTGATCATCAGGAGCACGCATTTGTAATTTCTAAAGTTGAATAAAAAGGGATTTAAACCCTTCTCAAGACTTTGTCTACTTTCCAGTTCTTGGCAGTCACCACTATTGTTGCGTGCGGGTTGGAAGCGCGCAACATTACAGGCTTCCAAAAATTTAGCAAGCAATGCAAATTAGCACTTTTCGAAAGCTTAGTGGAATTTGAATGGTTGAAATTCTTTTCGAAGATAAGAGGCAGTATGCAAATCAGCCAGTCACGGCTGTGCGAAAGCATGCTAATAAAGCAACCTCTGAAGATGCCATCATTCTGAAGGCTATGAGGAGGAACGAAGTAATTATAATTATCTTAGGATAAGTTTTGATGATATTGTATATCTATAGCTGAAATGAGATAAATAGTAAATAGTGAACCCTGTTGGGACGTCGCGCGCATTGAAACAAAAGAGTGAATCAAAGATACCGCTCTTTTCGTCGGCGTGGATTGTATGGTACTTTCTGAAATAGCGAAACAGTTTCAAACAAGTCAAACGACTGTCCGGAGCACTGTGCATTGTTGACCAAAGGTTATGAACCATTCTAAGGATTGGTTCACTAATTCAGTATTAATTATAATATTATATTTCCTTTTCTGTTGATTTTACGATCACGTGCTTAACTTTTAGAAGCCAGGATATAAAATAGCAGAAGTAGTTCTTTGTCTAGCATGTACAAGTTGCATCTGAAATGTTCAGTGAATGGTCTCAGAAAATAGAAGAAACAAGAGTTACAAACAAAATACTTTTAGCGTTGAGGTGGGGAAGACAATGAACACCCTACCATTGATGGTCGCTTGAATCACCGGATTGTATTGATAGCATCATGTCTCATATCCTGTAATAATGGTTTAAAAAATGGGGATTCAGGTCAGACATGTCGATTAAATCTCCATAAGTGTTCATCTGAGTCTGCTTCTGATCGACAGTCAGAGTGTTCGGTACTAATCGAGAACAAATCGTTCGCAAGCAACAGTAATTACGCCGTCGTTGCCTATCTTCAGCTTTTCCGCTATAATTCTTAAAGACAGCACCTGATCATCCACAATCATCTATCGCACTCGTTCGATGTTGTCTGGCACTGGATTTGCTGAAAATCGCATCAAAAGGGGCTCATCCTCGACACCTTCCTTCCCGTCTCTAAAGAGTTTAAAATAACCAGAATCACACACTTTATTCACTGCTTCACATCGTACTCGTGCATTAATGTTCCATGAGTCTCCGTTGTCGTTTTTCGTTCCTTTGTGAAATGACAGAGTTCTTACACTAGCTTTGTCAACTGAGTCACAGCTTACACTACTGCTTCACTTCGGTAATTTGCACAGTAGGGGCTGCTTGTTGACATGTCTCGCAAAGCGTCTTAACATATGGGATCATTCATCGAAGTTTTCAGACTCACCTTCTATTTTACAGAGTTATGTATAATTAATTTATGCTTTTAATATATTACTTGAAGTAATTTAACAATAAATAACATTAAGTTAGAAAGAAAAACTCTATACTCACTCATCTAGAGCTTCCACATATTTTTCAGCTTCGTGGTTTCCCTGTTGACTACCGATATCTATATCCATTATAGTATCTGAAATAACGACTAATCATAATTTAAAAGGAATAGCATTATACATTTGTTTAATCTTTAGCAGGCATAAATGGACTCAGATTTTTGAATTTATCTAAGAAAAGGACAAAAGAATTTCTAGCACTGCTAAAAAACAATACTGGATTTTTTGTAGCACTATTTTGTACTTTGCTTCTGCTCAATTACATCAATTGCATAACCCAGCTTCAGTCAGTCCTGATTCATTAAAATTCCATTGGAAAATTCCAAACTATTTTAAAATTTCTTTAAGCGAAGTAAAAAAAAATTCCAAAATATTAGCTTACAAAATTATTTGTAATAGATGATTTATAATTTTCCTTCACACTAGGGGGTCCAAACCGTTTTTCTTGCAACGATCCCTTTTAAGAAAATGGATTTCTTCATCAACTTTCTTGCGTTTTTTCTGTAATATAGAACATACAGTGGAACCATGATACAAATAGTTTCTTGTAAATAACTTCAACTAAACTAAGAAGATTAACAAAAGTTTTCAAAGCACCAAACTAGAAAAATTGGACACAGTATGGATATACTGACACAGTGTGTCTGTCTCAGGACTGTATCAACTGAGAAGAATGTTTCGACACACATAAGTGCGCCGCATTTGAGAATAGTGCAGGAACGGGAGAGGATTAGATTGCGCTTGTACATTAACCCTTCGACGTTTGCAAGATTAAGCAATTATTTTTTCCCAAATACGCGCGAGGTCTCTCAGTCGTATATTTGTAATGAGAGCTATGTTCCTTTGCGACCACCGCTGTCAGTTACGGAAATGCGAGCTGAGCTGGTTGATGGCTATCAAAAGGTTAAAGACTTTTTGAAGTGAAATACTCTGCACTAATTCTGTATCATTTTTATCATGATGAATTTTCTCAAGAATTCTAAAAGGAATATTTGCTTTCCGCCCAAAAAACGTAGTTTTTCAGTATTTGTCTTATATAATTGTAAGGTATATTTTAAATTTATAACAGTTAATTTAATTTAATGATTGTTTCCTATCTCTTCTAGCTTCAACTTATAACTTCCTACTAGAAAAAGTTTTTAGAACCGCGTTAAATGCAAATGAGAAGAAGAATAGTGTTTAAGTTTAACTGATTTCGACAACACTTTGGAGTGGGACAGCTTCCGTCCTAAGTTACTATGGCCAATCGGAATTAAGTGCCATCCCGCCCACCGACGACATCACCCCACAGAGGAAAGGCAGGCAAAGCAGTACCAGTACGATCCCTGCCGAGCCTTACTCTGTCCCGAGAGCCCCCAGGCCTTCTGTGAAGTCTGTTATTATGCCCCCGTGGTTGAGACTGCCTAGGGTACAGATACTAACCAGTACTTCCCAGGGATTCTCCTGAGTCACCCTCCCCGGGGGAAAACTGACTTCGACAGAAAGAGTTAGGACTTCCAATTAGCGCGCATTTGCCTTTGAGGTACGTCTCTCTAAGCCTTTAGTAAGCTCGTCCGTATTTTAGTAAGCTCGTCCGTATTTGATAATTTGCTGGCTTAATATTATGCGCCAACTAGTTTAGAATTGCGTTAGCTTCGGCTAAATCTCTTTAGTTAGTCATTAGTTAGTTCTTATTTCTTACATTTTGAGTTCAAGCCCAAGTGAAGGCTTTTCTCTACGCCCTGAGAAAAACACCGACTCTTAATGTTATTTTGAGAAAATAAAGAATAATTAACCCTTTTTGATTTACGTTTCTGTTCTTGGGCTTAAGAGATTATTCGCCTAGCAGTTCGTTAGGTTCCTTGACATTTAGTGTAACGGAATAAAAGTGAGGAATTGTATACAATGATTGCAGAAAGGTATCACTTTGATTGCGAGAAAATATGTAGGTTTATGTTCTGTATTGTAGCAACTTTTGAATGCCTGTTACGAATCACATGATAGAAAATCTGTATATCTAAGTAGAGAAGAAAATTATTTTATTTCAAGTTTTCATACAAATCACCGCAGTTAGGAAACCTGGACTTTCGATCTTAGTTATTACATAAATCAAATGTTGTTTATAGTATTAATTAATGACACTCTTTTTCTTTCATCTAAGTTAACGCGTTTTTTTTTTTTTTTTCTCCTTACCGTTACTACTCAATTCAGAATAATGGATCATAATCACTGATAGAACGTGTTTGGTAAAGTAGATTGTCTTCTCTTACCTGGAAGATATTCCACAATATGCACTTTAGTTTTACTTTACGTAAATTGTTTATCTTTTATATAAGCCGTTTGTTTTCTATATGTTCATAATATTAGCATAGAGTATGCAAGTTTTATGTGACAGTTTGTATTCTCAGATATATTAAAGACTGGAAAACTTTCAGGATATTTTACTATGTAAATTACTAGCTGCTTTTAAGGTAAATTTTAATTGAATTCAAACTGTGTGTTTCAGCATTGCACAGGTGATAGCTTAAAACAGCATATGCATAAGAGTATTTTACGAATTTTCAAAATAAAAGTTGCGAGTGCGTAACAATACTCACGACATAAAATATCCAAGGCAGTAGCAGTTACCACAGGCGTAATATCAATCCATGGCTCGTTTGTCACCATTTTTAGCTTATCAACGAGAATTAATGAATGCTTATTAAATATGTCGACGTAACTCTCCAGAATTCTCGAGTGAAATGCTGGCTGCAGTAGTTTTCTTCGCCATGTATGTTTGTTACCAGAACTGGAAAAAGAATACGAATTAATAAACTTAGTTAAGTCGCATATTTTGACCAAATTATTACTATCTTAGATATTAAATGCAATTTCCGTTCAAACTTTCTTTCCAAGATGAACAGCCCATTTAGGTCTTTAAAACTAGAACATATGAACATATTTTAAAACTAGAACATATGAAAGCAATTGCTTTATATTATAGAAAATTTAATTCATGACTTTCAGTTTAAATAAAATGCCGAACGACACTTCGTCTCTTGTGAGCTATTAGTTGAAATGATCACAACCAAGTTAAAAAGCGAATTCTTTTTATTAATACTTCGACCTGACAATTATATACAGTGGATGTTAAGAGGAAGAAAACACAGCTAGGTCAGAGGTAAACAAACACCTATTCAAATTAAGTTAAATACAGTGTAAAATTAATTAATTTCAACTAAGGATTAGCTCATTATTGAGTAAGCGCTTCAGAAGAATCAGTGGTAGCAGAAACGTGCGCCGAAAGCCTAACTTGCAACAGCAGAAAATTTAAAACCATATATCAGCCAGTGTTTGGTGCGAAATATTCTCCCAAAATCTTAGCAACTAGAAGTTTATTTATACTTACTAATTTGTGGAAGCTGACTAAAGACGTTATCGAAGATCCAAAATAATAAGATAACTAACTTAGTTGGTAACAAACTCAGCAAGGTCATGTCATCTGCATTCCACGAACGATAGTAATCCTTGATTGCCGTTCGTTAGCGCGGTAAAACTCCAGGTATTAGAAGAAACTATAACCATTCCCTAGAAACACGCAACAACATTGTATTCTCGTCCTTTCAAATTTTAAAAATAATCAAAATTCTACCAAACAAAAAAAGCAATGGTTCCGACTGCAAGCAAAACTACAAAGATCTCGCAGATACTGTGAACAACAGAGTAATCACCAACGTCTGTTGGGAAGTTAGTGCACGAGAAACCCTGGTTACGAGAGTACCTTATGGCAAGCCAGAAATTATGCGGCAAACGACTGATGTATGACAGAGCAGTGCGTTTGGTGAAGTAGCAGAAAAACCAAAGGACGTTTCCGACGGTACATCAAAATGCAGCTCAACCGGTAAGATCCCAAGCGAACCAAGGTAAGTTTCCAGTAACTAATCTTCGAGTAAACAAGCAGCTAACAACAAAAGAATTCCCGAAGCCCCAAATTAAGTCCAGACGATTTAGAGGCAGATTCCAGAAGCGCAACTACAAGATAGAAGCCAACTTAGAAGAATTCTTCACAAAACCACCTTTCCTTCCTGGCAGGAAATTCTAGAGAAAACGAATGGATTAATATCGCCTAGGCAAACTGAAAGCGAGTTACTATTTTAATGTTTCTTATTAACAACCATTATAACTGTTTTAACTATTATACTTAAGTTTATATCTTAAGTATAATAGTTGCACTTTGTTGAATTCTGCCTCAAGCGAATACATTTCACATTTTACGCAGCTAGAAGTTTCCCGAAAAAAAATTAGACTCGAACAATGTAATGGTGACACGAAGTTCTGTCTTTGGAAATTTAATCTTCCGTAAAAAATTAATTTAGTTTTCGTCTTTTAAATTCGTGCTAGCCAAACGTGGCTCATGTTGTAGGTTTATAATTTAAAATCTTAGGAAGGTAATTAAAGACCTTCGTGATAATTACTTAACTTCGGGGAAAAAAAACTGTAAGCTGCAACTATTTGAATTAACCAGTTACTTATAAATTCAGCCTTTATTATAAGTTCTTCTTTCCGTTTCCTCACCAGCATGTAAATGAGTTAGCTAGTAATCTGAAGTTTTCGGATTGTAAGACAGAGTACGTTCAGTTCCTGCCAGCTTTGAGAGTCGTAATTATGCGGCTTTGCGTTATTTAGCTACCACCAAATTGAATTTGACGCTCCAGTTAGATTTACTAGGCCGGCTTAGCATGCATTTAATTGTGTAATCTTTGCTTACTATTTGCGTCTTAATTTGAATTTGACTGTTTTTTTAAATGCGTCAGTACGAGCTCGTATTGACATTGTTAGCACAAGAACTTGCTTTTACGTTCTTAGTCCTGTTTAGATAAAAAGGTTTATTGAATCTTTTCTCTGATTTTGTAGTTACTTCGTAGATAATTCGCATTACGTCTGTTAGGGGTTTCGGACTGATTAACGTTTACCAGATCAAGTAAAACTTCATAACATTTCAACAAAAACTTCCCTTCAAGTATTTTCTGCGAACTTCTTGAGTATTAGATATGCTACCAAAGAGATATCATTTATGACATAAATTCCAATTACATTCTTCTAATTTACATGGATTTTTCGTTAAATGTAAATGATCCGTATTACTAAATAAAATAAACATGAAATGAAATATACCTCGTAGCTAAACCAGATCCGACAATAGGAAGAAAAGTACGATAATGCTTGGATTTATCATCAGCCAATTTGCTGGTTATTACTTTCTATATGAAATGAATAAAAAATGTTATAAATTAAGAGACGGATTCGAATTTACAATATAATTTCATTTTTACAATGCAAATGTTTTAACACTCACAAATACACTCCTTTATGAAGCAAAATATGCACCAACAGAAAACTAGTTAATATTGCGAAATTTAGCATGTACGCACAACTTAGAAAGGTACGCAAAAGTTTTATTTTATTTTTATTTTACCACAAGTTCAGCAACTAATCAGCTAAACCAGTAGTATTCTCATAATGCTGCAGCTGCCTTCGATGTATATTTCAGAAATGATCTAATTATGATAGGTCTGACATGCTCATGGAATGGTGTTTAATGCTTGGAGATATTGGGAAAAGATAATTATGTGGAAGGAGCAAATCTGATTGAGCATCTGGATGTCTCAAACTTTTTTCGGTCATGATTCATTCTTGGATCCATTTATTGTCAATGCCAGCAAATTATCATGCTGTTTTGACCAAGATGGCGAATGGATCATTTGAACATCTGATTCTGATGAATTATTGAACATTAATTGAACATTAATGAATTGAACATTACATTCTGATAAACTTTTTATGCTGCCTCTCTCTAAATCAGGAAATTATTTGTAACGCAGTTGAAGAGCTATTAAAAACGTTTCGAATACACTTTGCAGTGTTAAAGCAAAAGGTCCATCCAAATTGCCTGCGACTGAGAACTCAGAACATCCCCTTTTTTAAATGTTGCATGATACTTCCTATGCATGTGCGACAAATAAGCACATCAGATTATTTGTTTTGAAATTCAAACCATTTGCGTAATTTTTCTACCAACTTTTACATGTTCAGTTTGTGTCTGTAAGTAATTTTTCATGATTTCATGTCATTTTTGGTAACCAAATGAAACTAGAGCTACTAACACATTTTCATTTCACACGCACACTTAAGATGCATTAACTCATTAACCAAATGTGCAGTGTTAATTGATAATTCTAATTTCATTTGGCAAGCGTTTTGAAGTTTGCAAGTGCAATTATTTAATCATACACTAAACAAATGGAAAACTGTCCAGACTTGATCATTATGTCCTTGATTTGTCTTCCGCACTTTATTCAGCTTTGTGAGTAATGCTGCCATGTGCAACGCTGAGTGACGTATCAAGGACAGAATGGACGCAAAAATCAGGTAGTTACTAACATTTATTTCAGGATTTCTTACACATTTTTCAGTCGCGACCCTTTTATATAAATGAGATTTTTTTCGCCACCTCCAAAACACCATAACATTTATAAAAATTTTGTGGGACCCAATAAGCATTGCACAAATCCGACACACGCGTGAGAGAACCTGACAATTTTTCCCTTGTACTGTAATATACTAATGAAGGCTTAGGTCATTAACTTTAATTGCAAATTTTAAGACATTGAACAATGTTGAAATTTTAAATTAGTAACAGACGAAATGACAGCATCACGTGCAAAGCAAGGAAAATGACCATTTATATTATAAAAAGAATGCTTCGAAACGTTTTTGTTTTTTTCTTTGTCTGTATTGTCTTATCTTTATCTATTTTCAGATACATTGTGCAAAAATATTTGGTAATTGTAAAATTATTATAGTAAGTTAAAGAAATGTCAAAACTGCTAAAAGTTTTGGTGACCCCCTGCTGCAGGTTCTGCGACCCCCTTGGGGGTTGAGACACACAGTATAAGAAACCCTGATTTATTCAATAAAACACAGCTTAAAGCAAGGACAATATGATTCTAATTGTTGTCTTTTTTGCACGTGTAAGCATAGTTAATTATACAAAACACCTACGGCGGGATAAACAAAACATGGGCGGTTTAAGTCTTTATTTGGTATATCTTTAAACATTCTGTATTTATAAAATTAAAGAAGTTAATCAAGTTCTCCAACTAGTTTCTAGAGTTTTCTAGAGGCATTTCAAATTCAAAAAAATCTTTCTGTTCTAGTTAACGATCCTAATTCTAATCCATCTTTGCCTTCGGTCTTTAAAAAAATTATGTTTTAGTTCTGATTTCATCAACAGATGGCGCCACTAGCTTATTTTCTGTCTAGGCTTCCTTATCTTATATGATCATTATAACCTATCTCGTTTATTTGCGCTTCAGCAGCTGAGGATGGTGGTTCGGTAAAACCATCGAAATTAGTCCTGCGAAAATTTGAAAATATAACGCTGATTTATGTTTGACTTCTGAATCAGTATTTGTTCGGCGTGTTATTGTGTTTTAATTAAATTGAATGTATCTGAAATAATCGAAGACATGCTCTTGGGGTCTAGGGACATGCTCTTGGGCTATTATTCGCCTTCGCCATTTCACAGTGGCCGTTTCGCCGTCAAGACATATTTTCCCTATATGATTTTATTTTATCTTGCCGTATTATACTCATATTAAATTTATTTAGTTTAATAATTGTATTTACCTTTTACACTTAATAAAGGTTGCTTTTAATATGAATAGTTATTTACAAATATGAGATATAAAGAAAATACGCATAGTTGGAAAATTATGTCAGTATCAAAGAGAACTGGGGCTTAACTTCTGATATAATAGAAGTTATATTCTCGATTTTAAAATTATGCCGGTACAATATTTACATGATTCGTCAAAACTGCTTGAAGTTTTAATTGGCTAGTTCAGAGAAATCACTCATACAAGCAAGAAATGCACATTTTTATGAAATCTCAATGGAAAACAGAATTATGTTGGAATGTTGTCAGCATCTTACTCCCTTAAAATTAACATGTCATGTGTAACGGTGTATTTGTATAAAACCTGTACACAAAAACATTTTATATGTTATTTTATATTAAATTTTTTATCATATTAAATTAAACAAAGTTATTAATTTAAATCAACTTCAGATAATACGGCAAGATACAATGCAGCCGTGTAAAGAAAAATATGTCTTGAGGCGAAACGTCTTCAATGGCGAAACGGCCAGACGGCGAAACGTCCACGGCGAATAGTGCCATTCTCATGCTCTTGAATTCAAAACGTTAACAGGAATGTTGTGAAGTGAAATTTGCAATACTTGAACTTAGTTGTCAAAGAGAGTGTCACATTTTTACCAAAGACCGTGTAAAGAAAATAACGCAGGTTTCTTTGATTAGAAACAGATGGCCTCCCATCCTGCTGTAAACATATCTGTTGTATTTTACAAATTTTTCTATCTTTTCTTTTATCACGATGTTCTTGGAGGTCAATAATTTCACACAATCCAAGCTAAGTAAAAATCACAATACCCAGTTTATAATAAATTCAGTACGAAGCATTCAACTAAACTTTCAAGGAAAGGGAAGAGCGCCTTAGTAGTGTATATATTACGGTGTATATTGTTTTAAAGGTGGTAACAGGTCTATATTTCAAATAAAATAGGTCTACAAACATTGTGCGCGAAAAGAGAAGTGAAGAAGATTTTTAGAAGAGAAGCTTTAAATCAATAAAATCTGAAAAGTGAGGTTAGTTAAATGATTACGGCAAAGTTCACAAGTGGTATCTATCTAAGTGGGGAGATGCCTTAGTGAATGACTTTCTAACAGAAGTATTCTCGCATTCATATTATACATTACAGTATTGAAAAAAAATCAAGGCAGCTCGTTTGCCTCACTTCGATCGAGCTACCGGCACTCAGCCACTTTTAAAATGTAAAATCTAAAATTATGTCGTCGAAGTAACAACAGAAAAATTTAAATATATGAAACTTTTATTTCTTCAATTCTCAAGCATTCAGCTCCTAAAGAAGAATTGTAATTAATTCATATAAATTAACAAACAATTAACTTATGAATTAAAAACTTATCGTTTTTAATTCATAAATAGCGTTGTTATGTTTTAACGCTATTTATGAATTAAAAACAATATAAATATGCAGTATTTATGTAGAATTAGCTAAATTTACAATTGAAGAAAAAGGAAGTAAAAAATTCAATGTACAATTACACTCCTTATTTCCATCACTAGAATTCATAGATCCTTAAAATATTTCTTACTTTGACATATTCGGCTTTGTAAATTCCCACATGCGGTTCGAATCCAATCCACATAAAGAATGCCCCTTCACGCTGAAACATGGCTGCGAAAGCTATCACTATCTTGAATAAATCTAAAAAGAAAAGCGACTAGTGCAATTTCATAAAGTGAAAACATTCTGATCAGAAATAATCTTACTTCCATCACAAACATTCATGTGAAATTTCAGCATCTCTGTTTGTCCAAATAATAAATGAATTACATAAAGTGAGTCAATTATTATCACCATGGAATATAGGTTCTGTTATTGGATAACAATCTCTGGTTAAGAAATATATCTCATTCATAAAATGATGTCTGACCTTAATGCTGCTCAAACTATAATTTGTTAATTTAATATAGGCTCTTCAAGGCCCTTACAACCCCCCCTTTGCAATCGGAACTTGTGTCATTATCACCCCACCGCAATTTTTTTCTCAACATCATTTGAGGCTGTAGTTGAAGTCAGCCTTCATTCGAGTGCTTGTCGTGAATCGAAACATATGTAAATACAGAGGAAAATGCTAAGCCATCCAATCTTATTCCGCAGCTGTTGTTGCTACTGTTACAAGTCAAATCGGACGACAAAAAATATTTTTAAAGTGCACATTTTAAAGTTACAGACTATACTTTTCGACCACGAGTGTGTTATACAGAAACTAAAACTAACACAGTACAGGTTTTCATTACCCAAAGCATGTATGTGACTCCTGTGATTGCTGTAAAAGCTAGAAAAAATTTAAGGAATATGTTTCCATCAACGACTCCGCCATGTATATGAAATTTAGTTAATGTTAATAAATAACAATCTCTAGTTAAGAAATGATACCTAATTCATAATTTAATATCTGATCTTGATGCTGCGCAAGCTATGATAATTTAAAATAGGCTCTTCAGGGCCCTGGCCAACCCCTCATTTCAGTCATTACTCGTGCGGTCATCAACGCGCAGCAATTAATCTTTCAACATTATTTGAAGCTGCATTTTGAGTTTGTCTTCATTCGAGTGTTTTTCGTGAATCGAAAGTAACCTAAATAAAGTGGGGTAAAAGTTAAGGCACTCTTTAACTTTTTCCCGCAGTTGTTGTTCCCATTCTCACAGCTAAAATTGGACAGCAGAAAATATTCTTGAAGTTCCTGTTTCAAAGTAACAGACTACAACTCCCGCCCACGGCAAACTGACGTTATACCACTATTCTAAATATGTGAAAATAAGAAGGGTAGTGATCTGCGTTTGGCTCACAAGAAAGATATCTCTAAAATCGCTTGCGTCAAGGACAGCTGTTTCTGACTCGATCGGTTTAGTGACCAAGGGCCCTAGTCATGACATTTTCAACCACAGCATTAAGTGAGATTTAAGGAATCACGTGGGACTCTGACGTCACAAGTAGTTAAATCGCAAGTATTGGTATTCTCATCAAAGCTGGTGTTAAATTGACGAGACGGCTGTTAAAGTAAGGACAGGTCTGACCCTTCGTATAAAATAAACAGATGGTTATATTTCCGGCAATAAACATGGCAGAAGGTTTTGCGTCACTTTGAGCTTAAGCGTATTTGGATGAAAGCAGTCGAATTTCTCTGCGTCGGCAGCGAATTTTCCGTGATCGAAGCAATGCGTTCGATTTGCATACAACTCTCATTGAAAGGGACAGCTACCGCTCTAATGCGGCCTTATAGGCGCCTATCGGAATTAAATGCCGCCCCGCCCTTGATCAATCCGTAATGTTGCGAACTTGTACCAGTACGGTCCCTGCCGAGCCTTACTCTGTCCTGGGAGACCTCAGGCCTTCTGTGAAGCGTGTAATTATGTCTCCGTGATTGAGACTTCCTAGGTACAGATCCTAACCAGTACTTCTCAGGCGTTCGCCTGAGTCAACCCCTGGGGGTGTCGATTTACATAAAATAAAAAATGGATAATTAATTATCGTCAAGATTAATGAATTCCGGGCCCAGGAGAGTGTCGTTGGTGAGTTAAGTTCAGCTTCGTATTTTTCTATAGAATGTTAGAAAAATTACTTTTCGTTATTTCTTCAAAATGTGTATTTTTATTTCACTGTCACTTATTGACGATCAACTGATTTTATAAATACAAAATCAATTGCGGAATGTGAATGTGTTTGTGCAGTAATATATCGCCAATACTGTTTGTGATGTTTCTTTTATTATCGCAAATAGTTTATACTGTTTGTAAAATAGTATCCTACATTTCATGTAAACTTTGTACTAGGTTATCACAAAGGTTAAAAATGTGATGTACCTTATTTTTATTTAATTTTACTGTACGACTGATAATTTAAAGTAGCATTCTATTTTGATTCTAATATATTTTCACCAAATCTGTTAGTTGGCGTCAGAGTGTTAAAAACTTGATAGTGTGATCTAAATTATAAATAATTTTGGTTTTTCTTTATAGTAAGATAAATATATTCTGTATTTTTTAGGAATTTTCAAGACGTTAAGTATTAATTCAAATATTCAACAAATTGTTTTGATCCCATTATTATGCTTTATTTGGTAGTAAATGCTCATGTATTTTTAAGTATACTTATTTATTTAAATGTGTGAACAGCAAATATGTTTTAAGTAGCTTTACAAAATTAATTCCATTTTCGTATAAAAATTAAAATTTATCAGAAAATTGCATTCTTAAAAGTGTGATTAAATTCATTTAATACGTGTAACTGTTATTAAATGCTAGTGCTTTAGATTTTAATGTTAAATTTCATGCATGCTTTTGTTAAATTTCCAAGTAAAAAAATCAATTTGTTCATAAATTTGTCATGGAAGATCTCATGTTCAGCTAAATCAAATTTACTTTTGTGTGACCTTAAATTTGAGGTACCGATACTACATCTGTTTTGGCATATTAATAATTTTGAATGAAAAACTTAGTGCTACTGTGAAAGAATGATCAACTGATTTTTACCTTATTGATCAATATCTTACAGTTATTGTAATGACCTGCAGGATTTTTCATAATTTGATGTTGCATATGTTTTACTCTTCTTTGTTATCAAATGCATAAAAGGAGTGTATTCCTAATCTGATATTTCTTCTTTTGTAAGAGTGTAATATATCATGATGTGATACTTGGGATTTGTTTTTAGAGTACATAACAGTAATTTTTTTGACATGCTAATAGAACCAATGTATTTTATTTGCTTATTGCTTTAAAAGTTTTAAATCAAGGCTATTTTTTCTGCCTTTTCAGTATGCACATAAAACTTATTTATTATTTTTAACAAATTAATGGGATATACGTATGTTTTAGGTTAGCTGCTTTAATAGAAAAAGAACTAAAATGATATACCTTGAAACATTTTATTGAAAATAAGAATATTATCTTAACTGTGTTGGCTAAGATTTATTCACACGGTTTTTTGCATTTATTTTGATATTTCCACATGCATTCATTTAAATAAGAATCCGGTAAAGTAAGATCATTCTATATAAAGCTGTTGATTTATAATAGAAAAAAATATCAAATTGCTGCTGTAGTTTAATAAAATTTCAATATGATGGAATAAATTGCGCTACGTTAGGAAAAAGAGTGAAAAACTTTCTATTTTTGCATTACTTTCACGATATGCGTTTTGCATATGCTTGTTATAAGAGGACTTATTCTATAGATCTGTAGCTAAATATTTTTATGTTTTTACATATGGAAAGTAATTAATAAGAAGAGCTGTGATTTAAGCCTTGTCCTTGCAGTGGTATAGATTGAATCTTATATAGGTTATAGAATTATCATTAAATATTCAGATAAGTGTAATATTAACAGCATATGTACGTTTTTTCTTTATTTAATGCATGCAAATTCTTATAAATGTATTAGTATTTTTTCTATGTATTATAAAAAGTAGCTATCAAAAGCAAATAATTGATAAGTAAATAATAGCTGCAAATTCCGTACGTAAAGGTTTTATTTTTATTTATTTATGTATGTATTATTTTTTTAAACTTCATTTTACTTAAATAAAGGTGAAAATGGAATTCTTACTCTTCTAAATCTATGAAAAAATTTATTTTTTTGTCATCAGAGCACTGAAATATTTTTATAGCATTCTGCACTTCAATCTAAAAGCATTATAATTTAAAAGTGCATGTCTTGAATCAGTACTTAAAATCATGAAACCTTTAGCTGCCTTTTCTGGAAACACATGCAAAATAACATTTTTAACCAGTTTGCTACAATAATAGATGTTTGATTCCATATGAGCAAACTTCAAATAGCATACTTAAAAATATAAAAACAAGCTTTATATGCACACAAGCTATTAAATTGTTTCAGGCATTTAAAGTGTGAACTGACTAGATATATTAAAGAGTCAGCATGCACTTATGTATTTATCATGTAAAAATTTATTTATAATTTTAGAAAATTATCTTTTGATTCAGGAAAGCTTTAGAAACTTAAAAATTACTGAAGTTGTATTCGTACGAATTTGTACTCACAGCTTTAATAGCCTCTAAATATTTTAACATGTAATGTAAATAAAATTAATCTGCTTAACTCCATCAGTATTGAAATGCCATAGCTGAGAAATTAAGAATTATCATACAAATAGAGCACTGAGCTATTAAGAATTATCATACAAATAGAGCACTGAGCTATTAAGAATTATCATACAAATAGAGCACTGAGCTATTAAGAATTATCATACAAATAGAGCACTGAGCTATTAAGAATTATCATACAAATAGAGCACTGAGCTATTAAGAATTATCATACAAATAGAGCACTGAGCTATTAAGAATTATCATACAAATAGGGCACTGAGCTATTAAGAATTATCATACAAATAGGGCACTGAGCTATTAAGAATTATCATACAAATCATAAGATAACAAATAGGGCACTGAGCTATTAGAATTATCATACATAGGGCACTGAGCTATTAAGATTATCATACAAAGGCATAGCTATTAAGAAACATACAAATAGGGCACTGAGCTATTAAGAATTATCACACAAATAGAGCACTGAGCTATTAAGAATTATCACACAAATAGAGCACTGAGCTATTAAGAATTATCACACAAATAGAGCACTGAGCTATTAAGAATTATCACACAAATAGAGCACTGAGCTATTAAGAATTATCACACAAATAGAGCACTGAGCTATTAAGAATTATCACACAAATAGAGCACTGAGCTATTAAGAATTATCACACAAATAGAGCACTGAGTATCACACAAATAGAAGAATTATCAACACAGAGCAAATAGAGCACTGAGCTATTAAGAATTATCACCAATAGAGCACTGAGCTATTAAGAATTATCATACAAATAGAGCACTGAGCTTTAGAATTATCATACAAATAGAGCACTGAGCTATTAAAAATCATATCACTAACGAATTATCATACAAAGAGCACGAGCTATTAAGAATTATCATACAAATAGAGCTATTAAGAATTATCATACAATCAACAAGAGCACTGAGCTATTAGAATTATCATACAACAAATAGAGCACTGAGCTATTAAAATATATCATACAAATAGAGCACTGAGCTATTAAGAATTATCACACAAATAGAGCACTGAGCTATTAAGAATTATCATACAAATAGAGCACTGAGCTATTAAGAATTATCATACAAATAGAGCACTGAGCTATTAAGAATTATCATACAAATAGAGCACTGAGCTATTAAGAATTTCACACACACTGAGCTATTAAGAATTATCATACAAATAGAGCACTGAGCTATTAAGAATTATCACACAAATAGAGCACTGAGCTATTAAGAATTATCATACAAATAGAGCACTGAGCTATTAAGAATTATCATACAAATAGAGCACTGAGCTATTAAGAATTAATATCACAAGAATGAGAATTAAGCACTGAGCTATTAAGAATTATCATACAAATAGAGCACTGAGCTATTAAGAATTATCATAAAATGACACTGAGCTATTAAGATTATCATACAAATAGAGCACTGAGCTATGTTAAGAATTATCATACAATAGAGCACTGAGCTATTAAGAATTATCATACAAATAGAGCACTGAGCTATTAAGAATTATCATACAAATAGAGCACTTTAATATTTATATAACACATGAAATTACATTGAATTCTAAAAGAATAAAAGTTAAATAAAGATGAAAGTATGATTATAAATCCAGTACCATCTCATAAAAAAATTAAGCATACAGCTGCGAGAAATCTATTGTCAAAAAGTAGATTTTGAGGTGCTTAACATTATGCATGTATTTAAAAGTAAAAACTAAAAATTCAATAAATCAATTCAAAATAAAGTATTTTTAACTAATATACAAATGTGAAATATAATATATGAAAATGTTTTAGAAAATTTAAAATAACTTAAATCATATGAGAAATTTGGCAGTTTAAAAAAAAATGCAAGAAAGAACGCTGAACAGCAGAGAAAAGAAGGGGGGCAAAAGCCAACACATCTTTATATGAATGCAAAAAATCGGAAGTTTGAATACCCTAGAATGTTAAATAATAACGTTTTAGCGAACACCGCTAAAGCGCCAAAAATGGCACCCCAAACTTGAATTACAACCCTAAAACGTGGCTACAATACGAGGCCTACGCTAGAACTATGGACCTTATAAGGTCCATGGCTAGGACATGGATGACGAGCAGCCTGTATCTCTAGTAGCTGTAATATCATTTACTTGTTTTAACGAACTTCCCCAACTCTCGAACGAAGTTGAACGGTTGGTTTGGTTTGGTTTATTAGATTACGGCAAAGCACTCGAGGGCTATCTGCCTTAAGGGAGGGATGCCTTCGTGGAGGACTTTTTAAGGGAAACTGGCTCGTATACACGTTACACATGGGGAAAACCACGAAAACACCCATGCAGCCAGCCCGTTCGCGGGATTCGAACCTCGGACCGAACTACCAGTGTTCAGCGACGTTACCGCTCGGCCGCTGGTGGGCCGAAGTCGAACGGAAACCATACAAATGAACAGAAACCATACAAAAGTGAAAGGCTTACAGCCTAAAATGGAAAAAAGAAATAATAATAAAATATAAATTAAACAGGCAATATGCCCTGAACGTAATATATATATATATATACGGGGGGGGGAAGTATCAAGGATTGATTTAATTAATTGCAATTCATTGAAATCGATTCCATTTTAATGTGCTAAAGAAAATAAAAAAATAATTAAATAGGAAATGTTTACTTGCATAATTTGACAAAATAAAGTAATTAACTTGCCTTAATTAGCCGAATTATATCAACTTTCATTTCCAAATTAAGCATACTGAAAAATTCTGAATTTTGTCCTTTATCATTAATCAATATATTAAAAATAGATTATTAAAAACGGCATTATAATAATAGAACTGTATATTTTCGAACTTACATGAAGCTGGAGGGTTATCTTTTTCTATTCTACATATTTGCTGGAAATGTTGCCACATGAGCAAAAGGGAATTTTTTGTACCGTATGCTGGAATATTCTCGTAACGCTTGGTAGACAAGTAGAACCAAAGTTGAATTGCTACAAGAAGGCTAATACATATTACCAGCTCTGGAGCCAGGAACAGCATTAACAAAGTGAATGTCATCTCCATCCTGCGGAAACAGGTTTGTGTTTCGGTTTGTGTGATACTTTTATACGATCTTTGAACATTCAGTAATCTTCAGGCGATGTAGACATATCATCAAGTGCATGCAATCAGAAGTTGAATAAGTTCTGTAAGCACTGATTAGAAATCGATAAAGTTTGTTATAATTAATGCCTATAAAGCATATTTATAAATTTCCTTCCTTGGACTGCAGAAATCTGCATGATTTCAAGGTTTAAACATGAGAATGAGGAAGTGTACTTTCCTGTGATAATAAATGCATGATTTTGAATGATACGTAAGGCAGAGTATTAGCTAATCAATGAAGGTAATCTAGCCCGCACGTTGCCATTTATTGTATTATAATACAATGCTCATTTAGTATTTTGACAAATCTTTTCTTTCTAGCTTTAATCTTACAGTTTTCAACTGAATCAGGAAAATTTGTCTCTTTCCTTTTAGCTCACGTGCATCTTTTACCTAGTCTGAAATTTATATAATAATAAGTTAGTAAATGATAACATCAGTCTACGTTGATCGTCATCATGCTGTCTCATAAGTGTTCCAAAAATGGGAGGAATAGCTAATACCCATATGAACTCGCAATCAGTGACGAATTTTATACTGCTTAACATCGTCTAACATTTCTTAATTCTCTTTTCTCCTGTTTTAAGCTTTTTGAAATTCGCCACCGGTTTCAAGCGTCTTGATGGTTCAGCCACTCTGAACTGAAAAATGTTCTTTTAAAAGGTAACCTAGAAACAGTATCAGTAATATGTGATATTTTCAATATCTGTGATATAATCTGATTTCAAACAAATGCATTCAAATCTAACCAACAATTTAGCAAATCTGTGCATTCTGTTTTAGTAATTCCCTTGCATTTATTTTGTTTTTAGCAGCATAAAACAGTGGTAGGTTTGGGCCATAATACAAAACATCGTGGGAGAAAAGAAAGCAAAGAGAAAATATCGAAGTTCTAAAATATCGTGGTCGAAAATAATGCGGTTCAAAAACTTCGTCGCCGTCGAAAATATCGTGGTAAAAAATAAAGTACCTACAAACCATCGCGTGACGATTACATCGCACACATGCGTTTCAAGGTTTTAAAAGTTGTAAATGCATGTTTGTATTATAAAGCATTTCTCCTGCCTTCCTAGCATGCCTTCATAGGGTGGTGGTCTGCACGCTGGGAGCGTATTCCAGACGTCCGTGGTTCGATTCCCGGAGAAGGTGTAGCTCATTTTTCAAGTCTCCTGCTTCCAAACAATACCTAATATCTCTACAGTATAATAATTTCGGAGCGCAAGAAGAAAAATGGATTCTTTTACTTCTATATTTCATATTTTTGAATGAACTAATTAATATTTGCTGAAAAAATAAGAAGGAAACTTAAGCATTTAAAAGTTGAAAATAAGGAGAAAATTAATGCAACTTGCAGCACAGATTTATGTAGTTAATTAACAAAGGTCAATAATAAATTAACCTTCTCTTATAAACCTTTACTGATAATTTTTTATAAAAAATACTGTCTAAAAATGCTTAGAAAACGAAGCATAAATATCTGTATGAGGTTACCTCTGTAAAAATTGCTTAGTTATGAAATTATTTTCTTTCACATTTCCTGATCTGATATTGCTTTAGTGAAAATTATACATTATTTTGTTTCTATTTATTTTCAAAGTGTCCTTAACATTTTCATATATAGCGTGCAATCAATTTTTGGATGTCGATTTGTTAGTTATGACGAAAGTCAGTTATATAATAAGTCAGTATGGGATTTCAAAACGCATTGCATGCGGATGTTATTGTCCTGCGATGATTTGTATGGACTTTATTTTTGGCACGATATTTTCAACGAAGATATTTTTAAACTGCGAAGATTTTGAAACGCATTACTTTCGACCACGATATTTTGCAAGATATTTAGAACTGCGACGTTTTCTTTTTCAGATATTTGCTTCCAGGATGCTTTGTACCGCGACTTTTTTTCCTTGCGTTGTTTTCTCCGCGATATTTTAATACCCGATGCTTTTGCCGCGATGTTTTCGGCTGTAATCAGCGATAAATATTGAAATAAGCTTGTGTGTAAAGGTTAAACTTCAAAGAGAAAAAGTAGCGTATTCGGCCAGAAAAGTTACATATAGTTTTCAAAAATATTTTCAACTAGGAAACGTGTTAGTTATAAAAACGATCTCTTGTGAACTAAGGAAACGGAGGCTTTGTGGGGCGTAAGAATTCGATTCTATTTACCCTGTGTGGCATGAAGTAAAGATATCTACGTAGATACCTCTGATATGCGCTAAAAAGCAATTATTTTTACTTGCACGAAGTAAAAAGGAAGTATTATAATCACGAAAAGTTTCAGGCAGCATATTTCAACGAAAATATCCATTTTGACCGCTATCGAATGCAATTTAACGATGTTTTTGCGTGATATCTGTATGTAAGGACAGAATAAAAGACTCGTTTCCTCCAAAAAATTATAAAACTGCTTTAAAATAAATTCTAAAGAGAATTTTTCGTGGCCTCTGTACGAACGTATGCACGTACGACGTACGTATCTCGCATAACCAAAAACGAGTAGCCTCAGAAACGTTGAAATTTTGTATATAGGACTGCTATAACATGTAGATGTGCACCTCGTATTTTGGTTGCAATCGCCGCACCAAACGTATATAATATATTTATATAGATATATATCCACTCTGTTACCCGGCTGAGTGATCTCAGTTTCTTTACTCTTATATGTTTTAATTGTATTTTTGCTTTAAAATGATTGATTACGTTTTTTATCTTCCGTTAAGGTTTTTTATGCCTTTAGTAAATCTGTATGCAATATTTTAGAATTATCAACAATTTTAAAGTTGTTTAAGTGCCGTTAAGCCTTTTTTTATAGCGTCCATTGATTGTATGCATTTGAAACAGACGACTAGTGGTTTGTGCCAATCTAGAGAAACTTAGCTTCCCAACAACAAAGGTAACGCCTTCATTTATATGCCAATTAAATCATGCTTAATCCTTTCTGGAGTTTCGAGGAATAAGTGTTTAAGATTTACTTCGTATTTTATATAGATATTTGAGTTTTATGTATTTTTGCTTCTCGCGAAGTGAGAACTGAATTAATTGAATGAGAAATAATCAATCGTCTGTGAAAAAAACTGTTTTCTTTTTGTTTGTTTCTAATTCTTTTATACATCATTCTAGTTTATTATAGTATTTGCATAGAACATGTGGCAACGATTAGATAATTCTATTCTTTAAATGATATAAATTTTGTGCATTATGAGTTATAATATGAACGAAATATAATACTGTTAAGTGAATCTAGCGCCAGAGTGTCGCTGTGGTAAACAAACATTAGAGTGAATTTTAAAGAATGCATTTATTCTATTGTGGTTTATGCCCTGCCGGCGAAGTAGATTTAATTCAATCCAATAAGTTTAAATGAAATGCAAGAAAAAATGCGTATAATTTAATATTCCGTACAAGGAGGTCATGTGGTGTACACATCACATTTATTAGATATGTAAAGCTGAGCTTTGTTATATCTGAAGACGATAATTGGTGGCAGTAACTGAAATTAATCTATAGTTGAATAACTTTTAAAAGAAAGAAAATGAAGCTGAAGCGAGAATATTATCGTGCTAGTATTTTCATGATTTTAAAGTTGGGTTTAATCAAGAAGAATGTCTTCAATGTTTACAGTTAACGCATCGAAATGAAGCTCCATCGTTTTTCACTGTAATCAGGTTGTTTAGAGAATTTTGTAGAAATTGAAATTCTATCCTGGCTAAAGAATCTACAGGAAGTCCTTAACTAGTATTTTCATGATTTGCAAACTATATATACTTGCCTTAACCAACTATAGTCCTAAAAAGAAGGGACCTCGCAGGAGGAATTTGTAAGGAAGTGGACAGTAATTATGGGACATCAAATACTGAAAATTATAAACTAATTCACTTAATGCTGGATTACTAATCTACATAATTTTTTGTCAAGAAATTTCAAACATGTTCAAAATCTGACAATAATTTCGATTTTGCGGTTTTATACTACATTAATTTTGAGTAGTGGTCATCACCAGCAGCCACAACAACGGGTATTTCATCAATGATCTCATTTTCTCGTAACTCTCGTACCAGAGCTCACTCTCTTTTATTGTTCAGTAATTGTTTTCGATGTTTGTTTATATGAGCGTTTGCGCTTTATGTCTAACAATAATTACATTGGGGACAAGGAACTCATGTTCTTCTTTGTTGCGCGTTTGCAGGTTTGTAAAATTCTATATTTCAGCTTCATACTGTGGATTAACAAAAGAAGACGATAGAAGTAGGCCTATTTTATATTTATAGATGCTGCCAATTCCCAGCATTAAGAATTTTATATTCACTTATTAAGTACAATCTGTGCCAAATTTAACTGTCCATTTTTATTCTATTATTTGTATTTTTTCAGTTCTTGTGTGTATCACGCACTATATTTCGCAATTACTAGTAATACTGCTACTATTACCATTGTTATTTTTATTATTTAAATAACTTTACACTCATAATATATGCATTCCACGCTGCTTATTAAAATCACTCCGTTCCAAGCATATTTGAATTTATTAGCCGGCTGAGTTTAGTAGACGGTGATCTGTGTAATGCAAATCGTAATATGAATTTTAAACTTGTTCTTTAAAATAAAAATTAACAACTAATATAATAATTAATTCTAAAATAATAAAAAAATTAAAGCTAAAACTAAACTGTTTACGCTAGTTAGAAATATTTTTTTTTTTAATTTCGTAAAAACATTTTTATAATTACATACTTGATGAAATTCTTAACTTTTATAAATCATTATTGTATCCGTAATAGAACAATGATTTATAAAAGTTAAGAAAAGATAAGATTGATAGTGATGGTTTCGCACTGTTCATCAACAATTTTACAATTCTATTCTTAATTTCGTAAAATTTCTGATCACGTTTGCGTCAGCACTTAGAATTAGTGTTTCTTAGAATTTGCAATGATTTTCTTGATTCAATTAATGAGATATTATCTCTTCTTTTATATAAATTTCA